GTCCTTGTGGGGTGATTCACTGCTCTCTCTCATGGCTGACCACTGACATCGCTTCAGCATGCTCAATCAACCAAAATAGTGCTGACGAGAGGCGACTAGAACTAATGGTGCCGGGTGTGCTTCACAAACCATGGGCAATGGTCACCCACCAACGCTCACCAATGGCCTCACAGCGCCCAACTGCCAACTGTTGCCTTAAGTGTTACATTCATTCCTATAGAGTCTAAAGTCCTATTCCAGCTGGATTAGTTTTACCAGAGGAGATCTGGTAATGTAATTTGTAAGGAATTTGGTGGGCTTATTCACACAGGAAAGAGGTATCTGTGTACTTTCACCAAATTATATCAGATAGTCTGGATCAAAGCATCATAGCCTGGATGTTCACTTCAGCAATAAGATTAGAAATAAACAGATCCAAACACAACAAAATTAAAATGAAGTTAATACCAGTCAGAATTGCATTAGGATAGTAAAGTGGTCTCATTCAGCTTAACAGACGCCACCCAACAGGACAGAAATCGCACAAAATGTATAAATGCCCACTGAGTGATTTGTTGCTGCCAGGACAAACCCTCAAAACCTCAAAAAATGATAACTTTAAGGAGAAGAAACAAAAACATTCTAATTGTTCTTTACATTGATTTTTTCTTTAATTCATAGTAAAGAACTGCAGCCATTTTAAAATCATGTAAAAAAAGAATAAAGACAACAAAAATGGAATGCAAGGTTTTGTTTTGACCGACAACATATTTCTGTTTACTTTTCAGTCAACCTCCTACTTAAAGCTAAATGACAAAGAACATTTGATGTTTTATGATGTGATGCGACAGAAGTGACAGGAAGGATTATGAAGCATGAAGAGGACTGGGAGAACATGGGGGGAGGGGGCTTTGATAAATCAGCAAATTTCAGTTTAAACAGAATAATTGGCAGTAAATGTACCTTAGACATGGTGAAATTAAATTCCACAGGACACACACACACTCAGTCTCTCACTGTAAAGGCGTGATAGGCCGGCTTCATGACCCAGATACACAAGGACCCAAATCCCCTAGAGTATGGGAGAGAAAGGGGGAGAGAGCAGAGAGGAGGTGCGAGAGTGAATACTGGAGATAGACTGCAGAGGACAGAGAGTAAGAATGAACAGCTCAAGACACTGAGGGATGTGCTGGCAGGGAGAGTAAATGAGTGAGAGAGGGAGAAAGTGATAGATAGGGGTTGGCTTCCAACTAATAAATAAAGTGTCTGGTTTGACTGCTTTACTTTAAATCATGTAAATAATCGTTTATCCCTAAACACACACATATATCCCATAGTGCTCATGTACGCCTCAGACGTCCTGTCATAGTGTTCAGAGTAATTCTTTGTATACAAACTATTCTGATAATTTAGCACTGAATGTTATTGAATGCTCTGTTTTCTCATCTGATAAAGTTTACTTTTAAACTCAGTTGTTGATGCAGTCTGCAGTTGTTTTATTAGCATCCTAAAAATGTGTGTTTTGAGTCATCATACAGTGCTTGCTGTGGAATAATGACTGCTAAAGCTTAAGATTTTCAGCAGGCTGTCGTCTCCACAGAGAGGACCATTAAACACATTAGTAATAACAGCCTCATTTCCACATTCATAAAATGCCCTAGATTATGCCCGGAGATACAGACTAATAACAAACCAACAGGTCGAGAGTAACAGAATCTGTACACCTGAATGATAATGTTTAATAATAGCAGGTTTTAACAACAACTGAGAATAAATGGCAGCTTTATTGGTAAATATTTCATCATCATAGAAAGTTTCTTTCCTTTTTTTCTCCTTACTAATTAGATGCTATTCATTCATCTGACACATTTAATTATTGAGTTTAGTGGGTTTAAAGCTGTAGGTACCCTCTTAAAGGGTTTTTTGAGTTGGATGTAACTGCTGAATGTAAAAATGTATTTGCATGTTAAATGTTTGCCCTTCAGAACATGAGTCCTTCTCCTGTCCCATTCTTCAGATAAGTTATACTCACTATTATTTTTATTACTGTTATTATCTTGTATATTCTTTATTTTATATATATATATATATATATATATATGTTAGCACCAAGCTAACAACGCTCTGCATTATGCTGGATTTCAATGTCGGGTATAGTTCAAATAAAGACTTTTGTTTCTTTTTTTATTTTTTTTTCCCCCAGTTTTCTCCTCAGTTTTAGTCATATCCAATTCCACCCACTAGTTAGGACTTCCCCAATCACACAATATCACCAGTGCTAGGAGGGCGAAGGCTAACACAGGCTTTCTCTGAGACCTGTGTAGCACCACCGCATCTTTTCAAACTGCTGCTCACGCAATGTCATTGGACAGCTGAACGCGCTCGGAAGAAAGCGCCAACCGCCAGATCTGTTACGTCAGCTAACAGACGTCTGCACTGACGAGCATCGCACTGAGTGATGGGGGGAGAAGTGGCGGCTGTCCTACCCACCCAGAGGCCAATTGTTGGACTCCCGACCGCGTATGGCCTCTACAGGGATTGAACTTGTGATCTCCTGATGAGAAATAAAGACATTGTAAGTCTGTAACAGGCATTTAAGAATCATATTATTTACTTCGCATGTCGTTTTTTTTGTAACCTCTGTGAAAGCTTGATCTCTAAGTTTGTCTTTTATTATCAGAGCTACTGTTAACTAGCTCAGCATACTCTAATGAGGGCAGAATATATCCAGTTACAGATAATATAAAGTGTAATGAGTTAAAGAGAGCCTTTTAGCAGCAACCAATGATGTTTAACTGGCACATTTTTTATCTGGTTGGATTTTATATGCGTGGATATCAACATCAACAACTGGGCTTTTTCAGGCAGTGATTATAAAGCCACGTTCAGATGTCCTTTGAGATACTGTGCTTTCTTGAGTGGTTATTAGTCATAACATCCCTATTCTTGCCATAGTTTCAGCTTCTCTTGGCTGTAGTGACACTCGTAAAACACTGCAATCTCCCAGAGAAGCTTCAGAGCACATTTTCTGTAACTTAGCCAAAACAACACTATGAAAAACAGCTGGTTTCGCCCATAATCCCAAAAAACAGGGATCATGTGAAAAGTTAAGGTGGAGATGCTGGTCATGCTAAACGTTTTTTTAGCAAAGGTTTTGATGTATACACATGATGTATGTACATTTTTGTTGATAGTGTTTTGCCTTCAAATTCACCAATTCTGCTTGTTTAACTGTATACATAGGGTCTCGTGTGGCTTCTCAGTTGTACACCTGTCTAAGGGCTTTGTCATTTCATCAGAAGCTTGTAGGTTTGAACTATTCAATGCCACAGCCAAAAAGGGGGCTAATCAGCATATCTTCAGTGGTATTGGAGTCAATACCATTAAAAAATAAATAAATAAATAAAATAAATAGCCAATATCAAGTATTATTGGCCTACTGATCTAATGGTCAGGTTCCAATATCCACTATTGTTGCAAGTCTAAGAACCTTTTTAAGGTATCATGTAGTACCCTTTTTGCTAAGAGTGTACAGTCTGACTATTTTAGTTTCTCAGCATCATGTAGTTTTCATATAATTTCAAAGTGCAATTGAAGTTTAAAGTGGTAGTACTTCTTGGTCCAGTCAAGAAGAACTAGGCTGGGCTCTCAGCAGTATATCCTGCTCTGGCACCTCTCTGTGTTATTTGATACACTAGAGGAAAATGACTGACTTGTGTTTGAAACCCTTTCCAAAAGTGAGTGCTAAAGCACTAAAGAGAGCTCGCACTCTTTGTTGAAGCAGTGGGATTACAGTGAACACACACAAGCTCTCATTCTTCAACTTCAAACAGTATATTTGAAAATTGCTGGCTACCTCAGCTCCACTGAGCCCCGTCGGGTGTAACCCAAACCTCAGATGAGCAATACAAGGGGTGAGGTGCCATGCAGAAACATAGCCAACTATCAAAGCTAAATTTGGACATCAGGGCAGGTCCTGGTACCAACAACCGGAGGTCAAAAGGTCTGATTCTATCATACATTTACCTTTACTACAGCCTCAGTCAGCGGGATCTTTATAGTGATTTGGAAGACTGAGTTAATAGGAGCGACTCCCTCTGTGAGCCAGTTTAACCTGAAGGTATTGGAAGTTCATGAAATTTTAATTTGGTAATTCAGTTAATTAACTATGCAGGTTTTTTTTCCAAGCTGTGTTTATTTAAGAAAACTGTGTGTATTACATGACTCAACTGTAGTAGCTCATGTTTAGCCCTAAACTGATTTTTTTTAAACCAAGATTCTTTACAGATTTTTACAGTTTCCTCACAACACTTCAATGTCCATGTCCATGTGAGGAGTGAATAATTACAAAAATCCCCAAGTGTCTTTAAAAAATAAAAAAATCCATATTTACTTTTAGATTGAGATAAATAGATAAATACATCAACAAATCCTAAAAACTGGGCCTGGTAGCCTCACAAATAAATAAATAGAATCATAAATAACATTCAAAATATCTTTGGCCAAACTTGGGCCATGTGTAGATTCCCCCACGGACCCCTTAATGAAGCTGGTCAACCCCACAACCATTCATGAGCCTCCACATCATTAGCACTGGCTGTCTTTGGGGGATGGGAGTGGGGGCTGGGTTGAGAGTGAAAAACAAAGCTAAACCAAAAAAAGGTAACAAACCAATTCCATTGAGGCACTTTTTTAAGGATGTCAAAGAAAATGCTTGCATTTTTCTCCTACTCAGGTTTGTCGTTCTTCAAGCATTGAAAGTAAAGCAGAATAAATATGACAAAAATCATCCATTGACATAACTGAAACATTCCATTTTTTTTCTTTTTTTTTTCAATCGAACCTCCGAAGTCCTTAATCTTGGACAGGCAATGGAGGCAAACAGAAGCACACAGAGTAACAAAATCCTTAAATAGCAAAAAGAACAATTACGTTAAAAAAAAATCTGCTAAGAAAGTGAAGTAAATAAATAAACATCTTCTAAGTTCACATTTGTTTTCAGGCTTGCAATGCAGAAAACATCAATGTTTGTTTTCGGTGGTGGTGGTGGTGCTAGTTGTGGAGGTGATATCAGTCTGGCTTTCAGAACGCTCTCCAAATATCCCTGCGAGGGTTTTGAAGCGAGGTCCCCACTCGTTTAGGTAATCGTAATCCTCTTCTGTTTCACCGTTTAGGGATTCTATGGAGCTCAGGCTTTCTGCCACAGAGCCCTCGCCTTCGTAAGCGTAGGTGGCCAGTGAGTCGTAGGGCGGGGCGGAGGTGTCACCGTCATGTTCTTGTAGCCTCTGACAGATGAAGTTCTGGATGTCTGCGCTGTCCTGCGAGGCGACGGCGGGCCGAGGAACGGCGCCCGCTTCGGGTTTGACGTCGCGCCTGAAGAGGTTCTCCTTGATGGCTTTGGGGTTCCGGAGAGTGCCCATGTCAAAGGCATGCGTGTCCTCCTCCCCACCACCTTCGTCGTCGTAGTGGATAACATTGTCTCGGATGTCCTCTTTAGACGTCATCAATGTCTCCTTCTTCTTCTGCCTCCGCACTCCTACATAGAGCACCACGATCACTGCAGGGAGACAGGAGAAAGAACCGCACATGCACCAAAGCAGTGTTAGATGGAATATACAGCATTTTGTGAGGGAGGACCACAATCAATCAATGACTAGAAAGGAAAAATGACAGAAAATACTTCTGAAATCATGGAAAGAGTCCCACTTTGTTCTTCAGTGTTTTCAGTAATTTTGAAACAATTTTGAGCTGCTTCCTACATTTATTGGCAGACCAGCAACAGCTGCAATCATGAGGAGCCTACTCAAAATGTGGACTCTTGAGCCATCATGGCTGCTTCAGAGCAGCGCAGCTCCATTTCTCCTTTTTGGCCTTTTTTCGACTTAAATTTTACTGACCTACTAGAGAGGACAGAGTGCCCTGTGGCTACAGTCCAGTAAATATAGATGAGTATTTTCATGATCATTGTGTAGGCTAGGCAGTACTCCATGTGTGGGCAGCCAGCCAGTTATCTCCAAAACAGAGGGAGAGAGAGACTCCAGAGGTAGCAGTGGAGCTCTTTGGGATGAAGGGAAATGTTTATAATTACGTAAGTCAAGACTGGTAGGGTGTTACACTTAGAGGGGAACGCATGAGACAAAAGAAGGCAGTAGGTGAAAATAAATAAATAGCCAAGGCGCTGCCTTCTCCTGTTTGTGAGTCTAAAGCTGTGAAGCAAGAGTGCCCCCAAGTGATGGACATCTGCATTACATCGATGGCTTGCATCACACACTTTGTGTATGGGTGTTTCTGTGCATTTGGGGTGGGGGGGGGTCTTCTATGGAGTGTGTCTGGCCCATGGTAGGTAGGCATGCAATTGATGATGCGTTTTCCTTGGTCAGACTGAGCTTTGACTGTGTCTGTCATGGCTGCTGCTGCTGGAACTAGGTCAGCCTGACAAATAGAGCACCTATAATGGATGAGTGCCTCTCTCTCTCTTGCTCTCTGACTCCATATTCCTGCTCCTTTTCTGTGTATCCGTGTGTGCATGCAGTCAATGATTCTGACTGGCACCTTTCACAAGGACATGGTGTAACTAAAAGAGCCTTATGTGCGAGTCTCTTTCTCATGGGCATGGAAACAGTGAGAGGAGCCAGCCTTTAAACATCTGTGGTGGCAAGCTTCACCTGGCAAACACCTGCCAGGCTTGTACAAGATGAGAGTGAAAGGGATTTGCACCCTGATCTGGAGTTTTGTTAAAGGTAGTACAAGTGTTTTGAGGTCTCATGTGCATTTACTTGAGCATTCTTGTTCTAAACATACACACTTCTTTGAAAGTGAATATGCAGTGGAAGTCATAACACATTTCCCTTTTCGTGATGTGACGTATTTCTGAGTGAAGTGAGGTGTCAAGGAGTGTCTCTGAGCTGTCTGGGCATTTTCCCTGCCTGTTGTTGCACAATGGCACAGGCAGAAATCAGATGATGTTTTAGAAGCATAAGAATATGAGGTGTAAGAATATGCCCTGGTGTTGCATGATCCACCCTGTGGGGGTTTGACCACTGGGGGACTGTGTTGTGTCATGGTCATGCTGGGTGATCGTCTGCACCTGCAGAATTGATCTGCTGGAAAGGATTTAAATGGCCCATTTCCTACGTTTTTCTTGTATTTTACTTTTTCTCGTGAGTCCCACTTGAGGCCCACGGTTGTTTGGTTTTATGTATCAAACGCAATCATCGTTCAATTTCACGCAACCGTTTCCAACCTCTTTTTATCCCATAGAATTAAACAGGCTGTTTTTGTTACTGTGTCTTCAAGACTGCAATGTAAATGACATCTGTTCTGATTGGCTGCCCTATATTGTGCCATATTCAAAAAGAGTCTGGGCTGAAACACTTCTTTTAACTTCAGTGTGAACGAGTGGGGCTAAACTGCTGTAGGCTGAACAGACATATGTGTAAATGTATTGGTTTTTTTGACATCACAAAACCATGAATTCAAAACAGCTTGTTTTTGCAGCTTAGTTTCTATATATGGACTGTATAGACTGGGCTGTGAACAATACATTTTGAATCTTTTAACAATGTTTACGTACTAAATCAAACTCCTATTTCAAGTGTGAGATGTTGTTTGTTTTCCATGATATGGGTCCTCTCCTGACATAGACATTTGGTAATCTGGTATCTCTCCTGGCTTACCAATAGGGAATACATTAACACTTTACTTGAACCATGCTACATGACATTGACATAACCGTGCCATAGACATGGCACAGAAGATATCATATACTGTCATGATTTGTCATGACAGATTTTGTTTAGTAATTTAACAGTATGTTGCCATGCCATAATGTTTAATGTGATAACAGGCTATGCCACATGCTGTTTTTTGCTGTATATATACTCCAGTTAGCCATCATGACATCAAACATTATAACATATGACAGTTAACTGTAATGGTAAGATAACTCTGTATTACTAAACAAAATCTGTCATGACAGCAAATGACATCTGCTTTCACATGTTAATGGTTGTGCCAGTGTTTTCTAGCAGAGTTCAAATACAGTGTTACCTGGAATACTTTCAAAATACCACTAGAACCTGTTCTTCACCTCTGATTAATAATACATCTATCTTTTTATTATTAAACATGAAGTGGTCTCTCTTCTCTATGTTGCATCATATGAACAAGCCAGGTCATAACAGATGATATATGATGAGTTGAGGTTGGGTTATATGGCAAAAATGTGCTCCAAGATATTATGTTATGTATTGCAATGTTTAGTTTTTGTGAGGCTTGATAACTTGGGAGAGGCAAAAATCCATTAGTACCACATTAAAAAATACTATGAAAAACTATGGACTCAGTAATTATGAAACTATTTATCCAGTGAGTTTTATTCAACATTTCACATGCTGAGCTGCTCTATATCCAGTGAGACCGGACTAGTTATGCTCTCTTTTAAATGAAACATGCAGTTGTTCAGTGTTTAAGTACTGACGATATCTATATATTCAAAAACATATGTCATCACAGTGATAAATACTGTCTTACTGCACACCCCCTACAATCAGTCTAGCTTAATAAGACCAGGGACTTGAACTAACAAGGTAAAAAAGGTCAAATTTGTTTTCAGGCTAACTTTAAACTTCACTTGTAAAAGGTTTATTGTCTTGTGCAGTAAAAATGATGTGCTTTAGGGGGGCTGGCAGTCAAACAGTTTTGTTCCCTAAACATAACACATCTCTCTCTTACCTTCAGCACTCTGAGGGTACTGCGGGAGGCTTAAACCTGGTTCAGTTTTGGTGTCTGTCCCTATCTGTGTGAGCCAGTTTGCTTTGTTCTTCATTGAAAGTGTGCAGACAGCTATTACAGCCCTCAAGGCTTCAAGATAAAACACAGAGACGACTGAGGGACTGAGTTTAACTTTTGATGAGGACAGTGTTAAGGTCATGGTAGATGAAAGCTCACTTTTCAAAAGGCAGAGCAAAACTGGAGGAAAAACAAAAGTAAATAAGTGTTGACCTCATCAACCCTTGGAGAGCGCTGTGGAGTACGCTGCTGAGTTTTCTATGACACTTGCTGGATTGTGAGAAGCTCCAGGGTAAACTGAGAAGATCTGTGTCTGTTGACATTAGAACCTATAACTACTAATGTAGGAGATGATGCATAAACTATGTATGTTAAATTCAGTTCTATCTAAGTGGTGCAAAGTGTTTTTTTTTTATTATTATTATTATAACTTTTTTAACTTTATGCATTTAGATAGATAGATATTATTCAGCCAGGGGCAACACAGATGTGGGATGAGCTGAAGAGAACGGTCTAAAAGAGAGGACCTAAGACCCTGGAGGATCTGGAGAGATTCTGTTTTGAAGCGTGGTCAGATTCTTTGCTCTTCATTCTCCAGTCTCATCAAGCATTATAGGAGACTCATTGCTGTTAAGTTGAAAAAAGAAGGTTAAGCAAAATACGAAATGCATGGGTGCCAATAATTATGACATACATAGTTTTAATAAAAGTTTTGAGAATTTTTTAATACACTAAATTTACTTCAATTAAAGGTTATATATAATATTTTGACTGTGGGCTTGAGCTAATCAACCACATTGACATTAATATGGAGTTGAACCTCCTTTTGTGGCTAAAACAGCCTCCATTCTTCTGGCACACAACCGACTTTCCAGTTTAGTGAGGTTGAGGTCAGGGCTCTGTGCCTCCACACCAAACTCTTTATTCTTCATGGAGCTCACTTTCACAGTCATGCTGGAATAGGACAGGGCTTTCCTCAAACTTTTGACACAAAGTTGTTATCATATAATTGTCTAAAATGTCTTTGTATGCTGTTGCATTAACATAAAAATAGACCCAGATCACTATCCCTCTTCCACCCATCTTTGTTGTTGACACTATGCATTCTGGTACGTAGCATTCTCCTGGCATCCACCAAACCCAGATTCAACCATCTGACTGCCAGATAGTGAAGCATATTTCATCACTCTAGAGAACACATTTACACTGCTCCAGAGTCCAGTTACAGCATGCTTTACACCACTCCAGCTGACTGATCTTAGGCTTGCTGCTCTGCCATGGAAACCCATTTATAAAGCTCCTTATGCACAGTTCTTGTGCTGATGTTGCTCCCAGAAGCAGTGTGAACCTCTGTGGTGAGTGATGCAACAGAGGATAGACAATTTTTACACACAACATGCTTAAACACTTAACATCCTAGCTCTGTATGTTTGCATGGTCTAACACCTTGCGGCTAAACTGTTGTTGCTCCTTGATGCTTCCATTTCATAATAATAGCACTTACAGTTGACTAGGGCAGATCTAGCGGGGCAGAAATTTCACCAACTGACTTGTGGTAAAGATGGTATCCTGTGACAGTGTTGCGTTTAAAGTCACTGAGTTCTGCAATACAACCCGTTCTACTGCCATGGTTGGTCTAAGGAGACTACACCTGTTAGCAATGGGCATGGCTGAAACTACTCAATATTTAGTAGGGGTTGTCCGCATACTTTTTCTCATAGAGTGTTTATTGTGTTTGGTGCCAGTAATTATGGACCTGTCTTATGGTGATGGTGATAAAAAAAACAGGGTATGAAAGACCTAATTTGGTAACATTAAAAACAATTGTTCAGTTTTCTTTCAGTTTTAGAGCATTTAGATGATCATTTTCTTTGCAGGTTTGTTCTCTTGCAAGCTTTACTTGGGGCTATTTAGTTCACTTAGGATGGGCAATATAGTTGTTAATTTTAGTATTGTTTATCAAATTGACGCATAAACATTGTCACATTGCTAGTCATGGTTCACTTGTGTACACTGTTTAATGTTCCAGTAGGTATTTACTGTTTTCCTTTTTTCCCTAAGCTAATATTACCATTGCATATGGTAAGGCTGGGAAGAAACACATATCAGTCACATCTTTTTTCAGTGCAAGCCATGTAAATGGAGTGGGTATGAACTTAGTGCCCGAGTTGTAAACATGTTTCAGAGATACTCTTCATCTCACCCATTTAAGTGCTTATTAGCTTGTTAAATTCAGCTGTTTTTCCTTCAAGTCCTCTTTTATTAGTGTGGTGTTCCAGGACTGTTGTAAGAGAGGCAGGCAGCAAGGTCAGAATCTTCTTTGGTATGTCTCAAATATGTTTTAAATGCTAAAATCAGATGTGGGGAGGCATTAATTGAGGAAAAGATCTGGCTGTCATAGATTAGCTTAGCGCTTAAAGATAATAGGGATAATTGTAATTCTCTGGATTCCTCTCAGTGAATTCAAATCAAGTTATTTGCAGAAAGAAGAAACAAATTGAGTGACTATTTTCAGTAGGCTTGGACTGGTGGTTCATAATCATCTGGAAAGGAAACTTGTTTCTTTTTCTGTTCAGTTAAGGAAAGATGAATGCTTAGTTAATCTTTTTGAACAAGTCCTAGCTTAAAGGAATAGTTCAGTGAAAAATCAAATTCAAATTATTCATCAGCCAAGCCATGAATAGCAAAAATAGCATAGACAGATCTTATTTAAACATTTAAGCTAAAACTGGAGCCTCGCTATCATCCACATTACCTCCCACTTTGTAGTACTACTCCTCCTCTTTCAACCTGGACCAGACCCCATGCTGTGCATCAAAACATCACTACCCAGGCATCCCGTTACAGTTGTTAGCATAGCTAATGCTTCATAACTGTAAGACAGTTAGCTAGAAGTTGAATCTTGAATAACAATAAAGCTACAAAAATGAGATTAGGTTCCATTCCAACAGTACACAGAACAAAGAAATGTCGATGTAGTCTGGTACATTTCTACCAATTGTCTAATGCTGCACAAACATGCAATAAACAACCATTTTTCTAGAGTGCCCTTCAATAAAGGTATCATGCAAACTCTCTGTGTATGCAGTGATCACTTTTTTGCCTGATGATTACTGGGAAGGCCGCAAATAAGATATTCTAAAATCTACAGCTGTTCCAAGTAAATATCATCTTTGCTGTTTTGTGCTCACTTAACTACTGTTATTTCATATGCAGCTTGATAAATGTTGCTTTACACCATTTGACTGTGGGTATAAAGAAAATAAATGCTGATTTGGTCAAGCACTGGCATCAACAGGTCCCACTCTCCACAACAGACACTCCACCTCAGTTAGAATCACCTGGCACTTGCCACAAGTATACCCAAGTCCTGTCATTTGAGGAGTTTCAGGTATGTCCAGCAAGTCACTGGTGGGTCCAGCATCCAGCTAAGGCATTTCCTCATGAACTCAAATTCAGACATATCAAAGCGTCTGTCATGGGCTACACTGCTGTGAGGAGCTTAGGGGGTGTGGCCATATAAAGTGGCTTTCGGGCGGTGCCGCACTACTAGTGTAAAAAGGGACATTTGTTGTAGTAGTTGCTGTTGCTATCGATGTTATTAGTGAAGTAGTTCTTGTTTATGGAGTTGTGTCTGAGGAAGGTGGGCTTTTTGTTTGCATTTGTCTACCCTTGTGTGTCGTGTCTTCCTGTGTTACCCCCTCCCTGTGTTTGAGTTTGGGGTAGTGCTGACTTGGGCGTTTTGCCGCCTGTTGAGGGCTTGTTTGAAAATGTAAGAGCATTTACCCGTATGCACAATTTTTGTCCACGTCGTCTTCTGCACCAACTCTACAGTATATATGGTTCAGGCTCATTGGTGCTGAAAATGTGGTTGTCAGAATCATAATTCTACATTGTTTTGATTTGTTGAGTATTTACCTACTTTGGCGGAGTTTATTTTTTGTTTTTATACAGTAAAGTAGGTCATACCAAGTCCTAAATCACATCGATGTGTCTGCATGAAATAAATGAAACTCTGGCTGGGTTGAGAAACATTTTTGGGTATGTATTTACCGACATGAGTTTAGTGACTGTCGAAGTCCAGCATTTGTTAGCAACGTTAGCCTAGTATCTCCCATTGTAAATAAAAGAAGTACATGTCAGATATCAGGCATGTCTAGGCTGATCAACTGCATCTTTGGGTAAGTGATAAATCAGTTTGATTTTTTCCTTAGTTATTCCTTTAATGACCAACTATACACATGGCCACTGTGAGGAGGCAATAAAAGCTTCTTTCTCCATTCTTTTTAGCTACTGCGGTGTTTTTGCTTCTCTGACCTTGACGGTTTAAGTTATAGAGGGGAGTAATTCAGTCCATGACCACGCAGTAATGAGACTTTAGGACTCTTTTATATATGAACTTGACCGGAAAAAAAGCGACTATCAGAAACTTCCATCCCCTCCCGTGCCAATCTGGCATGGCTCATGTCCCAGCATTTAATTAATGAGCATTTAATTAAACAAGGTTGAGATACTCCAGAAGTCTCTTAATTTTGATCCATCTAGTCTTCCATGTAGGAACAGCATGGCTTGGATTCCAAGAAGCCAAAAACTTTAGGCAGTTTCCCTTAACTTTACAATTAGCCAAGTTAGTGAAAAGAGTTTAAAAATGCTGGCTTTTTAAGATGCAAGCATGTTCTTTTCACTGTTGTACTACTGTGTTCAGATCCTCATGTACTACTCTGTGCCTGATTTCAGACATCGAAACAAGTGATTTCAGCCCAATTGATGTATCAGCTTCAATATGTGAAAACAACTTATATGCATAATTTAAATGAAGCATGCCCTAATTCATACAGATGTTTTGATAATAAACCAATAAAAGAAAAGCAGCAGGATCATGCATCAGTGTTGTCCTCATAGGCGAGGTATGGAGTCAAATAGAATGTGCACTGCTCCCCCTACTGGCTTGCTTCATAGTGTTCAAGTTAAAACAGTTAACAAGAATAAAATGTGAAATTAACAAAATGTCTTTTTCATTTAAGATGGCAGAATGATGCAGTTGTGCAGTGTGATTGCAACACTGGCTATCGGCTATATTATTACAGTATATGAAGATATGAATAGGCTTCTATTGCACTAGATAAGCTTTGTTTTGTGTTTTTTGGGTGGCCGTTGTTTACTGTACCAGTAGTATTGTGCAAAAGCACAGAGCAATAAGCCTTTAAAAGGAACATGTAGTCACAGCATTTCTTTATATGTGTGCAGGTAAAAAATAAGTACATTTACTTTAGTACAAGGATTGTACTAGATATACAGTGATGTATAACTGCTACTGTCTACTGTTATTACTGATATTATTGATGACGTTTTTCATGTTGTTGTGACTTTTAGTGTAGTATTTCATGCACTTCTACTAGAAATGAGTTAGGTCATACATATACATCAAAGATGAAATTGATGAATAATAAAAATGTGTGTACTCTTTTTCTGATCAAATTTGGCTACTGCACAAAACTCCTAAGTGACAATATGTCTTCTCATTGTGCAAAATAGCTTTGCAGTTGCACTGTTGTGACATTCAGTGTTGGATGAAGTGTAACTCCAGTGAAGATTGAGCCTGACAGTGCTGCTTTCTTCATGTGACAGTGCCAGTAATTCACTCACCTAGCAGTATGACGATGCAGAGCAGAATGGCGATAAGTGCCCCGGTACTGAGGCCCACGGGGAGGAAGATGGCCTCTGCGCTACAGGTCAGCAGTGCCCCGTCAGAATCGCAAGCACACACACGGATGGTCAGGGTACTGGTGCTGTTTTTTACTGGTAATCCACTGTCCTCAATGACCACTGGGAGGTGGTATATCTCCTGAGTGCGGCGCCGAAAACCGCTGCGCAGTGTGACAATACCTGCAGTGTTGTCTAGAAAAAAAAAAAAAAACAACTGTTAGTACTCTGAACAAGTTATATTTAATACTATTTTACATGGTCTAAAAATAAACAGATTCCAACTGCCCCCACCAAAAAAAGAAGACTGGTAAAGAAAGTCTCTTGCCTCAGTAGAAATCTCAATGAATGTGTCACATAAAATGTTGAAATGTTGAAAATTGCTTGGACTCTTTATTGTCCCTGTTTGCAGTTCAGCGGTAGCAATACAGTCCAGCTGAGGGCAGCAGGCACTAATATTATGTGTTGTATGAAAGTGGGCATTGTGAAGAGCACTGGTGCACTCTCTCTGAAATGACTGTCAGAATTTGAATGGAGATGTGTTTTTTATTTCTGGCTGTGATATTAATATTGATATGTTAACCATGGATTTTTTTTTTTTTTTGGTGGCAGGTTGTGTTGTCATACATTGCTAAAGAGCATGATGGCATCACTACCTGAGACTAATCTCCACCTCATCAGCACTTGTGGGAATAGGCTATTATAGTTTATGTGAAGGCTCATGCCCTTTCATTGACCCCAGAACTACAACAGCTAAAGGATTATAAATAATTGAGGTTCATTGCTTTTGGGTAAGCTTTATAGGAGTGTAATAGCTGTGGTGATTGTCAAAGGAGTAACGGTGTGAGGCGTTTACAAGACTGCAGCTTGAAATGACGGGTCTGTGCCCTTTAACTATACTGCTTGACTTGTGTAAACACAGTTTCCTGTTTAGTGCCTTCCTATAATAAAGACAATAGCAAAAAACTTTGCATAGGTCCCAAGCAGACATTTTTCTTCTGTATTTCTCTCTTGGCGGTCCTAGAAGCATCTGTATATTTCTGAATCTGTAATATTTATTTGGTCACCTTCCATTTTCCCAAAAAAATCCACACATCCACACACATATTTCCATCCACATAAAGTTGCTAGCTAGCCACAATTGCTGTGACTACAGGCTTTACAGTGCATGATTCATCAACGTGAAATTACTTGCACACAAATGCAACTTATCTTAAGCGCAATTTTACAGTGATGTTTAAGAATGTTTTATGAATCAGACCACAGGTCTTAGATCAGGGTCTGTGTAACTACCCCTTGTGTGTGTGGTCTTAGCCAAAGCCACATCAGCCTTTAATGCTTTAAACATGATGTCCTGACAGTAGTATCACTTGCGTTAATAGCACAATTAATCAGCCCTCATTTGTCTGAAGGGATAATGTTTCAAGTGCAGCAGATCACACAGAAAACTTTTCTGTCGGTCAGGCTAATGTGTATATTAGCTTGATTGACAGATACGTTTTCTGTGTATTCTGAAGCTGAAGAAATCAAGAGGCAGGGAACCAAGACTCACTCCCAAAGTCTTTGATGGTGAAGTTCTTGCTCTTCAACCCTTCCTGTGGTGATTTGAAGGAGAACTTCTGTCCTGTCATGGGAAGGTCCTGGTCTTTTGCACTGATGATCTGAATCACCTGTGGATGCATCACAATTTTATTAGATTGTTCTTTTATTTATTAATTAGTTTGTTGTGCAGAATATTGTGATTTTGTTTCTCTCGCTTTTACTGTGACAGTGGTAAGATAGAAAGCCTGTGGTGTACTGATGTGTTTGTAAGATTATTATTATCTGACCAGAGTGACATAGGTTAACTGCACAGATATTTTTATAGACTAAGAGTTTGATTTCAACACTCTTGTGTTAACCATACTGACAAGCTGAAAGGCTTCACCATAACCTAACCTCAGACAACATACACACACCTCTTATCAGACCCACTATCATGACATTTAGACCATTGCTGCTTCTCAGTTTTTTGAATGAGAAAAATAGGTAACATTTTATTATAGCTACTTATTATAATGCCTTTGTAGTGCACTTTTTAAGCTTTAACAAACCAGTAGTTGGTGATAAATTGGCTACTTATTACATATACATCATTAAGCAGTGATTAGGGTGAATTAAGCATTTTCGAGAAAACTTGATTAAAACTGATTAAGCCTTATTAAGACAGTATCTGGCATTAACCATTACTGGTAATTAGCTATAATATTTACCAAGTCTAGTTGGTAGGCTAATATAGTTTATTAAGTTATTATTATAATATCTGAAATATAATGCATGTGAACTGAACTATAAAGAAATTTCAAGCCTTTTCGTCTTCATTTCGTATCAAAAGGCTTAATAAAAGCATTACAAGTGCTCTGGAAAATGAGCATCTGCACGAGTCACCATGTCTAATGCCAAGCATCGGATAGAGAGCATTTGGCTGCATTCACTGGAGTGATACAATACATTTGTGATGAGTTAGAGTAGAGTTTGAGATCTATTCGTCCAACATCAGTACCTGACTCACTAATGCTCATGTAGCTGAATACAATCAAATCCTCACAGCAATGCTCCAACATGTAGTGTAAAAGCGTTCTAGAAAAGTAGATGCTGTTACTGCAGCAAAGAGGGGACAAGCTCTGAAATAATACTCTTGATTTCTGAAGAAACATAGGATGAGCAGCTGTCTGCAAATGTGCGGATTTATAGCTTATATTAGTTAAATATTTTAATCAATCAGCTTTGTAACATATTCTCAGTTTTTTAAAGAAATTATTTTAAAAGGATATTTAAAGTGTATTTAATTAACTAATCTCCTGTTATAGTGTAAAAAAAAGTTTGAGTGACATCTCATTAGCCCAGCTAGTGCTAAATATAGAGTAACTGCTTTGATACTTGATGTTACTGTCATATCTGTCAAAGAACATGGTCAAAACACAGAGCACAAAGGTATGCAAAAACAGGTCTTCCAAGGGAATTTCACAGATGAAATAATTAAACTGTAAAGATGTAAACAAAGTGAAAGTCAGAGTGGTTTGATGTGAAACGCACCATACTAGAGAAACATATTCTCAGTGGTAGCGATAGGAACCAGACGTTGGAACAGCTGAATGCCTTTACAAGCTATGCCGGAGACAGCAAAGTACAGCTCGGTGTTTTTTTTTCAGCTCTCTGTATTTCTGAATGTTGTCAAATGTTTCTTCACAGAACACGCACTCGGCTCCCCGGCGCCCTGTCTGTGATCATGATCCGCCCCATGCTGTAATAACACCCATCTCTGCTCTTCTGCTCTCTCGAGCGTGCCTGCTCCAGCCTGTCCCACCCCACTGTTAGCGTCACCTGCCGCAGGGCTGCTGTGAGCACTACAGGTGCGTGTAAAACAAGCCGATTAGCGCTGCGCTAATGCACTTATCCACACTCGACCATCAAATCATGCACATCCATCAGCGCATGCTGCTACGCCACCTGATCGCTGCTGTGTACTTCATCACAGCGCGCTGTATAACTATGTCAGAAATCCAGAAATCCAAACACCAAACAGCTATAGCTAATCCCTCATTGAAAACATGTCAGAAGCCAAGAAATCCAAACAGAGAACAGCCACAGATAATCCTTCATTCAAACAGCGCAGTGAGAGAATACTGAGGAGACAGTAAGAGCTGTGGCAAAAGTTTTAAAAACTGGAGTTTAAAGAAATTAAAGATAAACAGAAAATGGGACCCCTAACAGCCATGCAGGATCTGTCAGACCACCAAAACAGCCACCGTCAGATGAACACTGCTTAAGGCTTTCATCTTTGAGAGAGAGGAGAAAATTAAGCGCCAGATCTGCGTTTACTTGGATTGTGAGAGGCAGAAAATGCAACAAACTTCTAAGACTGAACTTTGGAGGTGCATTAAAATATCCCTGCAGATTTCTTTGAAAAACTGAAAGCAAGTCTCGCTAAAAGAATGGAAGCTGTAATACTGAATACTGGAAATGTGATGCGTATATTTAGTTGTTTAGTTGGGTTTTGTGTAATTGTCTGTTAAAACTTTGTTTTCTGCCTTTTTTTTCCTGACTCTGACAAATGAATAGCTTTTACTTTATTGCAGTTTTCACTGAAAATGAAATAAATAAAGAATGGTTTCTGACCTTTGCACAGTATTTTATAAAAACTATACATATTTTTGAAATGCCCTCCAAAATTGTCTTTCAGCAACAGTAAGCTCTCAGCATGTGTGCATCCTCTTCAGTTCTGGTGGAAAAGCATCCCAGGTGGCATCTCATGATGTTACTCTTAAAAGATCAGTGTGTAGAAAACTGCTTCGAGGCAAAGGGGCCTTTTTTGTTCATATGTTTTATAGATATCTTGATAATCTTCACTATTCTTCTAAAATGAGGTAAATAGTAAAAATAATGAGGTCTTTTATGAGTAAGCGATTCCGGACTTTTGTCTCATGTGTGCACACGCACACACAAACACACACACACGTACAGCTTTATATCTTACTCGTAACTCATTGAAATAGGCAGAGAATTTTCTGTTGGAGATGCTCAATTTTTAGTCAATGCCATATTTGTATTTGTAGGTAAAAGAAGACATATTATATGAATTTGATGAAATATTATGTGTGCACTTTTGTTTTGCAGAAAGAAAACCGTCCTCTACATTTTTGTCATTGCTTAAGATCAAAACAAACTGAAAGGTTAGTGGTGTGGCCTGTCAGGATTTACATTCTGTCTAAACAGCATGTACATTAAATGTAAATATAATTCATCATGTACCTTACTAAGGAAGTTAATATGTAACTGGAGGCATATAAGGGTTTGTACAAATTGACTGATTTTTAGAATGAGGCCTTTATCACTTGCAACCCTTGTTCTTCTTTTGCTCCATCCACACACACGTGTGGCCACAGCTGCTCTGCCGTTTTAATGAGTGTGCTGCTGTGTGGAGCGTTATACATCACCTTAAATGGCTCATTAGTCCAGAATTGGATTTTGACATACAAACATGCATTCTCTCTCTCTCTCTCTCTCTCTCTCTCTCTCTCTCTCTCTCTCTCTCTCTGGTTCGTGTGTGTGTGAGAGAGAGAGAATGATTGAGGTAGTGAGTGGCCCACATGCTGATTTACACTCACCTGTCCCATTTTGGCACTTTCACACACAAAGGTCTCATAGGGTATGGCAAGCTCAGGCGGAAACTCGTTAACGTCCAGGACATGAACTGTGACGGACACTCTGCTGGTAAGCACTGGATTATCTACAAAGCAGAGAAAAGTACACAGTTTAACTCTGTACACAGTGTGCATTTCATCAAGTTTAATCTTTTACAGTTTTATTTTGATGAATCAGATTAATTTATATGGAGATTATCGTAACACAGCATAACATTTGTTTGTGTAAATGCTGTGATTTTCTAAGGAAAAGTATGTAAACTTTGTGAAATGAGTCAATCAAACGTCGTATTTGAAGACCGAAAATTGATACACATTGAACAATTTTCAGAATTAGAACCATAATTTCACAATTAGATGTACTTTCTAAAACTAGCTTCATGGAAGCTGTTTAATCAGAGATGAGAGGAGGATGATGTCTGATACACATTATTTATGCTTGTAAATTAAACATACTTATCAAAAAATCAATACTTATTGAAACGTTGAACAAAAATCACTGTATTCATGGATTTTGATGGCATTTTTGATACCACCAAAAACTATAGCATTTGGTGCTAATACCATGATATATCATTCCTTCACTCACAGATGTGCTGAGTGTACACTGTGTTACATTTAACACAGAGCAGCAATACATAACAGTACAAACAGATGATTTTTGCTGAACACAAACTGGCCCGAAACTATTCTACATCAAGGTAGTTTTTCAGACAAATTTGAGAGAAAGAGAGAAAAGAAAGATGTGGATCCTTGAAGCAGCATTTTGAGTGCCAGAAAGTTAAGCAGATTGCACAAACTGCTCATGTTACTTAAGAGCCACACAGACACACATTATCTAAGCCTCTTATCCTTCTGGGCCACAAGGGGTGCTGGAGCCTATCCCAGCACTCATTGAGCAGAAGGCAGGTAACACCCTGGACAGGTTGCCAGTCCATCACAGGGCAGACACACAGACATAGACATTCACACACACTCGTACCTATGGGCAATTTAGTATCTCCAGTTGGCCTGACTTTGGACTGTGGGAAGAGGAGACCAGAGCACCCAGAGGAAACTCACACAGACACAGGGAGAACATGCAAACTACTTATCAGCCAAATAAAATATAATAATGTAATTTAACTAATTTCAGAATTTTGGCATTACTATTAGGATTCATAAAATCATAAAAACAATAAAATGAAACTCACTTAAGCAGCGGAGAATTAAACATTAAACTCTGTCAGTACAGTGTCATGACACTGCTTTATGGCTTCTTATTAGTGTAATGACATGATACTCTCTTTAAATAAGGGCCAGAAAAACATACATAATTCACAATATGCATAATCACAAGAGAATCAGTATCGAAGCTTTCACAATATAACTACAATACAGTAGATTTTCAGTTCATTGTTAGCACAAATTGTCAAAACCTCTTCTGAGAAGTACTCACCTAATTTGTAAAGTTATGTAACAATCCCAATTATGTCTTACCAGAAATACACTGAGCTACAGTCATCATAAGATGCTGTGTCATTTCACCTTAGAAAGGGTTAAGACAACATCTAATGGCAGCAGAAACCTGTCTCTGGACATAAGTGTTATGTCAGCTTGACAGTGAAGTTGACAAAAGCAGTCTTTATGACAACTGCCACTTGTTGGAATAAGCCTTTATTAATGTTTATGTAGGTTCATGGCAGTTGTCATGAAAAGCTTATGTATTTGTCATGTAGCCTTAAAAACATGACCCACAGTAAAGTGTTATTGAACGTTCTTGCCTTCTCTGGTAAAGTTACCTTTTGGATTTTTTTCCCCTGATGAGAATGTTCTCTTTAAAGGCAGAAAAACAAAGCAACCCAGCTCACAGATTAGGGCTGATGCTTCACTCTGCAGTGCGGTAGGTCTACAGAAGTGTGGGTGGGGAAAAGACTGAAATAGAAGTCATCAACAGTATAATACTGGCACCATGTGGCCACAATGAGAAAACTCCACTCAGTCTACCTTTTACTGGGCATCTGTTGTCACGGAAACATCAAAAGCTAAAAAACATAAATCTTACACAAAGTGGGAGCAGGTTAGAAGCAATTAAGATCAGTGTCAGATTTTGAAAAAGAGCTACTTGAAACACGTTTAGTCCATATTCAGAGTGTCTGTCCTTTTATCATCATTGTGTGCACACGCTTTGATAATGTCAGTGCATAATAAATCTAAGTGAACGCACAATCGTTTGCTGCATTCAATTTCATCTTGACTGTAAATAAAGGGCTTGATGGCGCCTGCATATTCTACTTTCAAGGCTTGCCATTATGACTCATGATTAGTTGCAGTTAACTTGTTTCAGACAACGTTTGAATGAGAGTATATCAGGCACTAATGCCTTTGGGTTGGCTTGGGTGATTGAACCCAACAGACATGGCATGAATTCTGCTGTCAAGGTATACAGTTATGTGACTGGAATGAAAGAAGATCTGTATTTTAATATATTTTTGCCTGAAATGGAGGGAGAAATGCCACCCTGGTTGTGTCATGACGGCTAGAGTTAAACTGACCCTGCCAGCTATGCAATACGAGTGTCTTGTGCTTGCACGGGTGTGGGTTTGATTACTTATCATGGTGATGATGTATGAATTCTGACTGTGCGCAGTGCAGGGGGGCATCAGTGAGGAATGAACTTTTATGGATTTGGAGTGTGATATGAGCTGTGGGGTGGCTAAAGGGATGGCTTAGAGGGAAAGAGATCTATGCTCATCCCCCCTGGGGTCCCATATACAGCCAAGACCTTTGGGTGACCTTGATGGAGAAAAGCAATCTTCCTGGCAAGATAGAGTTGTGTGTTTGTGCACACGTATGTGTTTATGTGCGTGTGTACACGGTTATATGTGCTGTTATTGCCTGGTAACAGAGTCACCTTAGTCCGGCATAGAGATGGGCAATACAGTAAAAATATAACTTCATGATATTTAAAGACATTTTCATGATAAACAATATGCATGGTTTTATAGTAATTAATTTTTTTTACATTTTTTCTCTAAGGCTTGAGAACAGTTTGAAATGGACAAAATCCATCAGTAAAATTGTAGTTCCTTATTTAAAACAACAGTCTTTGTGTACATTATGTTGCTAAGACTGACTATTGTTATTTATAAGTCTTTTTATGATATGCAGTTTATCAGTCTTTCAGAAGTACTGGTAATACCCACAACACACTCAGAAAAGCATGTTGCAATGTAATTTATTATGGTAACAATAACATATTATCCTATTGCCCACCCCTAGTCTGAAACCTTTCTGTTCAAAACAGCTGGTATTCATAGTGGTAAAAGCTTTGCCGACTGGTTACCTTTTGTTAACATGCTTGCAACAGCTTTCTTGCCAATAAATACATTGAAAACAATATTTTTAGGCTTACCATTTGGCATATTTTAAGCTTTCCAATTTGGCCTTTTGAAATCACCAATTCTAAATGCAAAAATGCCACCAGTGTTGATTTAAGTGCCACCTGTTTAAAATGATAAGCCCGTTGCCCAAAACGACCGCTTCTTTCCAGACCAAGCCAAAATGTGGCTGTGGTATCTGGCGTCAAGCTGAATGTCAGATTTTGGAGAACAGCACATTGCCAGCAGTCTGAGATCCAGACAAGTGCTGTCAAGAGAAAAGGTTATTGTTGCAGTTTGTCACCAGTTTGTCAGACGTTTTGGACAGATCATCATTCTCTAATACCTCTGTTTTCTTTCTTTTTTTTTTCTTTTCTTCAGGGCAGCAATGAAGTAAAGAAGTTGATAAATATGTTTTGATAAAGAAAAAGTGATTATAGTCTGACAAATGTGCAAAACTGTTTGACTTGTTTGGAGTCTGTGATTGTCTTTTGACACTGTTTTCAAATGGAAGTTAAGCATAGCGTAACATACTGTACTACTTTGCCCAGGAAAGATCAGCATAAATGCATCTCATAGGTAGTACTAATCCCATTTAAGAAGACTGTTTCCTTGTTTCTGTGTGTTTGGGACTACAGGTTTGCCTATCTTACTGTATCCACTAGATGGTGCAAGAGTCTGAGGGGAGAAATCCACATCTGTACTGCATTGCACTCAGTGACAGTGAGAGAGTTAGAGTAAAGGAACACAGTCCATCAGAGGTCAAAAAAAAAGAACCCTCATCAGCCGTACAGCACATGCATGAGGAACACGATAGGAAGGAGGGAAAAATAAACAGCCTAGTTTTCCTTTGATGACAATAATCTGCGATTAAAGAGTATGTTCTATTTTAGTTTTTAAGAGGACAAGAAAAAAAGGAAAAAGAAAAATTAATGTTGACCAGCTGACTACCCTCTAATTAGCAGCATGTGGCCGAATGCCCACACATTTGCTGCACTAACAGAAACAAGGTCTGAAGAGCTCAGTTCTCATTATCAGCAACAAGTATGATATTTTACGAAGCGGTGCTGACTCATCTGCTCATATGCTACCCTCAGCATTATTATTCCAGATTTCATATCCTGTAATCTTGCAACATCTGGAGCTGCACCTGGCCTGGAATTTTAAAAATAACACAGAAAGAGAGAGAGAGAGAGAGGGAGAAGAGAGGAAGAGTTCTTCAGGTGAGGAGATATATTCCTTTGTGACTGCTGCAGGACTTTCAGCACTTCATGGTCACTGCAGACAGACTGTTGCCCTGAACCTCAGTGATACATGTTTAAGGTCTTTACCCTAACAACTGTGCTATAGCTATAGGCTGATAGTCAGTGCAACTGTAAAGAAGAACACATAGTGGAAAACAAATTTGGACCATGCAATGCTCAATACGCATATGTTGTATGGCATGTCCTTTTTCTAGAGTCAGTAATGCGTAGCTTCTGTCTCTTTAGCTGTTCATCCATAGGTAGTTATTTAGGCAGGGAAAATACTCTTTCACTTGGGGAGAGAGAGAGAGAGACAGAGATGGATAGATATAAAATAAAAATGCAAATGAATTACTGCTAATGAAATTGAATAAGTCTAATCTGGTTTTGCGACACTTTTGCCTCATATCTCATATTCTGCCTTAATATCTAATGCTTAACATGGCCGAGAAGCACCTTCTTTGACAGGAAGGGGCCATTTGAATGACAGCAGGCCATTGACAAAGCAAAACAAAAACAGAACCATATTAAAAAAATGTTATACTAGCATGCAAAACTTTGAGTACTTCTGGTCAAAGTATGTTTTTTTGATTTTCTAAGTGAAAATAAGTCAATACAGTGTCACATTTTGTGCATGTTGGCTTTAAGTCTAACCCAACTGAACAAAAAAAAAATCTTTATTGCTGATCCTTTTGATCTTTCATTCAAAATATTAACAAAAATCTTATCTGGAAATAAATATTTTTCTTAAATCTGTGTGTACCACAATTGCTTCTCCTATAATGTTTAATGAGACTGGAGAACACAGGACAAAGCATCTATAACCATTTCTCCATACAGAACCTCTCCAGATGCTTCAGATTCCGAGATACACACTGTGGACTCTCCTCTTTAGCTCATCCCTCAGGTTTTCTGTGGGGTTAGGTCAGGGGAGTAGGTTGGCCAAGGCAAAACCCAGTTTAAGCTTCCTGGCTGAGGCAGTCAGGTTTTGATTTTATGGTACTTGATGCAGCCCGTGATAACATGTATTTGAATAAATTGTCCAGGACCTTTGGAAGAAAAACATCACAACATCACAGATCCACTACAATACTTCACAGTGGGGATGAGGTTCTTTTCTGCATGGCTATCTTGTGTCTAGCTTTTTTCCAGTGTTTGTTGCCAAAAACCTCTATTTTGATCTCATCTGACCATAGAAAATAGTCCCACTGAAAGTTCCAGTAACAATTGGCAAGCTATAGGAATTTGAGGTTGTTGGTCCTTGATAACAGCAGAGGCTTTCTTCTTGTACCCCCCCCAAAAAACAACTTTGTGAGCCCAAGACCTAACTAATGTCTGCAATTCCCCATCTGTGATCCTTGGAGATTCTTTGTCCACTCGAACTGTCCTCCTCACTGTGCTTGGGGTGCGTATAGACATACGTTCTCTTCCTGTCAAGATTCTTAATGTCTCTAGTTGTTTTAAGCTTCTTAAGTATTAACCTTATAGTGGAAATGGGCCTTTTCAACTGTTTTCTTGTAGCCGCTTCCTAATTTGGTTCTTTAAGGGTTCTTTAATAAAGAAAATGGTTCTATATGGAACCATGAACACTCAAAGAACCCTTTGCTCAAGTGTTCTTTGCATCATAAAATGCTTCTTCAGATTGATGGAGAATGTGCTGTAGATGTTTCTGTATAGAATCTTTTTTGAAAAGGGTTCTAAAGCACCAGAAAGGGTTCTGCAATTATGACAAGCTTGACATCAAAACAACAGAAGAACCCTTTTTGGTGCTATATTTGGCCTGTGTTTCATCTCATATATATTCCTCAGTGAATCAGGAAGTCATGGCTGGCCAGTGTTCTTAATCACTCAGGTGAACTTAAAAACATAAAATATGAATGGGAAAACGCTTCAGTTAAATTTCACTCAGAACAATTCTAAGGGTGCCAAAAATTGTGGCATACATAGATTTACAAATATTTATTGCTAACAAGATTTTTTTCATTATTATACCTAAATAACAGATTTTTGCTAATATTTTGAATTAAAAAAACAATAAGAATAAGTAATTCATCATAACCAGGGGTGCCAATATTTGTGGAGGGCACTGTATTTTTATTTAGCTAAAAAATCTATCTACTCTATCTAATTTGGCTTTAAGCAAGAGCTGCAAGAAGAAGCTCAAATGTTCTGTAGTTCTGTAGGCTCAGTCGGTGGGATTTCATGTGGGGCCGCATGAACACAATGTAATACTGTCTGCAAGATACTGATAGTATAAAAATTACATATTAATATATGTGAGCTCCCAACATTGAGTGGACAACTCCCTCTGCAGCAGAGAAGCAAAGTTTTACAGGCCTGTCTCGTGCCGTCTCCCATCAGCCCAGCAAATTAGCAAATCACGATTAGCATATCAGCACCACAACCTTGAGAGACAGTTAGTAATGCTTGTTACCATGGTGATAAGAGCTCAACTTTTAATGACCTCTCTTCCTCATTCTATCCTAATGAATGTAGCGTTGCGTTTGTAATTTTGATTGAGCACCACAGAGGCTCAAAGATAATGACTTCCATGACTTGTTAGAGGATTTGATGACTTGATGTCCGTGAATTTGCACCCTTTTTTGGTGGGCATGCAGCCCATGTCATCTTGACATAAACACAATTACTGAGCTGATGTTTTAAGTTTGTAGTTGATGACCTCTCAAATTAGCACTGCAGCCTCTAACTACACAACAAGATGTTAAAAATTGTTTTGTCATTAATTTTTGATAGCTGTCTGGGAAGATCAACTAGAGATTCCTTGTTTAACTAATTAAATTGGAAAATAGAAACTCTTTATCGCCCAGCTGCTGAAGGATGCAGCAAGGAGGCAAGTTGTTTGTTCAGTTTAGGAGGTCAAAGGGACAAAAAGACATGGTATCCACGGAACGCATTCAGGGGACTCATCATATTTTATGGCTCACCATAAATGATGTTGAGACCAAACAGATTTACTGTCAACTGTAGTAAAAGCGCAGTAAATCAGAAAGCTAACATTTCCTGTCTATAAAAATAAGAGCATCTGAGGGAAGATGAGGCACACTTACTGACTTTGGTTGCCACAACTGTTATGTTGTGTTGGGCTATACTCTCCCTGTCCAGCAACTCGCTGATGGAGATGGTTCCTGTCACAGGGTCGATGTCAAAGAAGCTGTCCAGGTCACTCTTCCAGTCAATTGAATACCTATTAGAGGAATAGAGTAAACATTTATTATATCACATATAAATCACACATTTATCAAGAGCAAATGATTTAACACTTATTAAACACAAGCATATATAAACATATTCATTTCTCAGCATCAGAAAAAACAGAAATTGTACAGAAGTCTCAACAACCGAATAAGATGATTTGTTCCAGTATTTAGTTTCTCCACTCTTTGTCTTTATTATTTTTTTATTATTTTCTGCTTTTCATAACCCAAGTAATCTTAAACTCACTGGCCGGACCTCAGTGATCCTGTGTTCCGGCTTGTGCATTGTTTTGAGATCTCCTTATTAGTGTGCTTGGGGTACAGTACATTCCTCCCCAGTGAACATTTTCTACATGGTATAAAGATGTTTTTTGTACTTATTAGCATGCATGATCCTGTCAGTCCAGAACAAACCATCAACACAAGATGTTATTTTATATTCCCACACTTGCACTGATCCCCCACCTTGCTTGACCTATGATTGCAGACATGATTAAAGAAGTCTTTCATTGCTTTGGCGGAACACATGATGCCTTCTGTTTCGTCTAAAGATCACAAATTAAACGAATCAGTCTATAAAAGCTCCAACTCAGACGTCCCGTTTTAGTGTTCTAGTGCAAATTGTCTTCTTTTTTGTCACATCAGTAACAGTAACATCATCTTGACTGCTACACATCCTCTCAGGCACATAGTGTGGAGTTCTTCCCAAAGTGGAAGGATGGACAGAAACACCTGTGGATTTTTGGAGCTTGATTTTCTCCTCTCTCTCAAAGGTGCAAGCTGTAACGACTGTGTCTAATGCCAGTTGTGGTTGACCAGGTCTCACATGGTTGTCAGGAGTCCGGTTTTATTTATTATTTTTTAGTAATATTTTGATATATGTTTGGAAAGCTGGAAAACAAGAGAAAGCTCACTAGAAAATCAAGAACTAGAAAAATAAGCATCTAGGAACACTGCAATTGTAGTTATGCTGAGGACACCCCTCCTAATTGAGTTCAGGGGTTTCATGTACACTCTTTGCTAACAGGTGTATAAAATGAAGCACATAACCATGCAATCTTTATAGACTATTGCTATTATTGTTAATGAAAGCCTTCCCAGAAGAGTGGAGGCTGTTATACCTCCATATTAATGCCTGTGGTTTTGGAATGGGGTGTCCAACAATTTCCCATAGGTGTGACGGTAAGGTGTCCACATATATTTGGTCATATAGTGTATACGCATACATGAAAAACAAACACAAACTACTGGGCATTTATACAAACAGAACTGACAGGGCACAGTTAACACAATGGTAAACGGGCAGAGCAAGAGCAGCACCTGAAAGTTTCAAAACTACAACCATGAAGTTCTGTCAGATTTAAAATAACAAAACCAGTTCCAGATCACTGATGGTGAGAGATGTTTTCTGTTGATACTTTCTTCATCCTTTAGAGCTGTCACTCCATCTACTGTCAGCACATTATATTTCCAGCAGGTTTCACTCTGAGACACACTGGCTGACACAGCAGCAGCACCAGAGCATTTACAACATCCATGCCAACAGTCTTAGTGGTTCTGACTTTCTCCATGAGCAGGTTTTTACTGTTACAAGTTTCCCCAGTAGTGCAAGTTATAAAGGATTGCAATAAAAACAACTACTGAAATGTTCCAAAACAAATGAGCAAGAACTTATTTGGTATTCTCTTGCTAACAGACTGATAACTTGAATATAAAGCAAGTATCAACATGGCTCTGAATACATTTTAATTAAAGATGCTTTAATTGAATTTGTTGTTTCTTTGGTTTGCAAATGAAAGATTTCAGTTGATTTTAAGTTAGTAATTTATAACTTTGAGTTGATGTATTATAGCTCATAAGCATTCATGCTTATGCAAATGCTTTGGCAAACCATGTTTTTAATAATTTCCCCATCCTTTTGGTCCGGGGGAAGCTATTTATCTTATGCCTGAACATCTGTCTGTCTCCTCATCTTTCTTCCTACTCCATGAATTATCAAGATCCTCTGGGAATGTCATACTTTCAGGTTCAGTTCATCTCTAAATTCTGGCAAGGGAAAGTTATATTTTTAAAATTGTCTTTTTTTTAAATAAATTTAGCCCCCTGAGAGAAGACCTAGGGCTAAAACAAGTGCATGCAGCAGATTTGAAACATAAAAAGACTTAAAAAGAATGTTGTGTATGGCTGGAAGCCTGGAAGTCTTTTATTTTGCTTCATTATTCTAGTAGACAGAGTGGCAAAGCAATACATTTTCAGTGCTTGTCAACAGAGAAAACAGATTTATATGGGGTTTTTTGTCTCTCTAGTTTGGGGGTTAATCAGTCTGTGGTGCTTGTAGTGACTCATAACTTTGTGAATAGCTGAAACTAGTGTGGGCTAGTAAATAACCTATGGTTTACTTTTAGATGGGTGACTCACTTTCTGACACAAGAATATTTCAATTATACACTAAAATCCAGCCCAGCATTTTCCTGTCTCAGGCCGTGGTCACACTTGAACACAAGTACAAGTTGCATGGCAAAAAAGCCGGTTCACTTGAAAGGGAAGGATGCGGAAATGCGAAAACAGGAATTCGCTTCTGGTAGCAGCTAATTTTACTTTCATCTAGGTGAACTCCACACATCCGTGAACATCGGAAGCTTGAGCTACTAGAGGTGGAGCTGTGATATGTTCTTTCTGACCAAAACTAAATGGAGGAGCTGCTCCTCAGTCAACACAATGTTGCTTGTTGCTCACAGTTAAAAAAAAAAAATAAAACCAGCTAACAAGCTAATATTAGCTGTTCAATGAACTGTATATTCCCTCCCAAACCACATCACATCAGGACCACTCATACTCGCCTGAGTTTTTGTTCCTTCCCGACTAAGAAAACAGCGAGGCGACAAGACTTTATTCAAAAATCTTATATCATAAAATGTTTGCACTACCCCAGCCACCTTTTATGTAATATAGCACTATCTACATAGACTAACTGACTATAGCGTATTTCTTATATTGCATGTTGATAAACTGTATTTTATATACTGAAGCTGGGAAATCAACTGTCTCAGATTTCTTTCTGAGTAACTGACGGTCACTACAAAAGTCTGCAGTGAACATTTTACTCTGGACTCCTGGTGCTTTGTGCCCGCAGTCATCTCACAACCAAACCCAACTTGAACCGACTTAAAAACAAAGCATGGGATATTCATCTAAGCTCATGAGCATGCATAGCATTAGATTTGCAATGTCAAGTTAATGGTGGTGTACAGTCACTTTCCCACATATAGTTTATGTAGCATCATTCTCATGTTAAAAATAATATTAAAAGAAAAAATTTGTAATTAAACTTTTTTGTACACAATTATTATATTATTACTTTTAGTTGCATCCTGTTTCATCCCCACATGCATGGCCGATGTCTGTATTGTGGAATGTTGTTTGTCATCATGAAACTAGTGCTTATGTGTTCTTACAACTTAAGGTTCTTGGCTTGGTTGTAGCGTTCTAAATTGGCCATCAATGGAAAGGTTCTTTAGGTAAACAAAACTGGTTCTGAAGCTTCGTTGAATATTTTTGCACTGTTATTTTGAAGACATTAACAATTTTTAAGTAAAAATCAATTTGTGGGATTATAGACCTTTTTTATTGCCCAGAGAGAGAGAGAGAGAAAATATACATCTGTTCTGGAAGCAGTTCTCATGTGAAAGTATTCAATGGCTTTAGATGCCTGTGAGGAAGTGTAATGTGTATTAAACTCAAAACTGTACCAAAACCTGTTTTCACTAGAGCATTCTTGCACCCCCCCCACTCCCTTCACCCTTTTAGCAGAGAGAGAAAAAAAGCTTTGAAAGAGTTGGAGAAACTTGTGAGCAGAGTTATCAAAAAGCACTTTAGCTGTTTGTCTCTTTGTTGTGGCATGTAGTGGGCCAGTGGTCTCCAGCATTACTTTAAAAGCTTTGTTCTCTACGCATGGGAGCTCATTTGGGACCATTGTCTTGTGGTGGGTAACCGCATCTCCCAAGAAAAATGCCAACTGTAGCATTTCTAAATAATTCAACAGGACAGAGCATGGATAAAATAAAACAAAACAACAGTGGATTTTCATGCACATCCTCTCTGTGTCCATTTAGTGCTCTTATTTTCAATGAAAAATTTATATTGAGACAAAACAACTCATGAAGATTTTGGGCAGTGTTGGGATGTCAGAGTAGTCTATCCATGGTAGTCATTACTGAGTGACTTCCATTCTGGTCATCATTGGATAAAAAACCACATACTAGGGTTTAGCCTTTAGAGGTGGAAGTAGATTGTAGTGACTTGAAAAGAAATGCATTTGTAACAGCCCACCTCTTATACTTCTTATACTTGAGTGCATGTGACACTACAGTGTGCACAGGCTTCATTTGCATTTACTGTAGTAGATGCATGTGTTTGTGTTTCGTACATTTTGTCCTGATTTTGTAGAAATCCACGGAAAAAAAAACTGAGATAACCTTTTTTAATGCTGATGTTAGGTCAGTGACATAGCCAGAGTTTAATTTAAGGTGGGCTGTTTACAGGATTGGAGGGCCAGCCGGCAAGCACAATGACCCAGACATTAAAAGCGGTTGACAAACACCAGCTTATCATTAGAAACGTATAACCCAAACTGCCTCAGAGCTTTCAGTGACTCAACAGTTAGTGCTGCGTTTCAGACGAGCATGTCAACAAGACTGTGAGTCTGTCACTTTGATGCAGAAAGTTGTTATCAGTACATACAGTGTACAAGAATTTAGTTTCGTACTTGTAATAAATCTCACTAACAGTGCATAATTTTGTAATTTATATAGAACTGATTCATTCTAAACTGTTTACCTTTGTCAAATGTCTGTGATCACAACTTTCAGCACAATACTAAACACTAAAACTGAAATGAACACTTTTCAATGGATAGGTCTTTAAAAAAACATTTTTTCATAATTGAGATAAAAGTGCCTTTTTAATGTTTACACATAATGAAATGCTTCTAGAAAAAATGCTTAAATAGAACCTTCACAAAATGTCCTAGAACCTTCACATTTGGGTCCTATAGATACATTTTTAAAAGGGCTCTTTAAAGAACCATATACAGCAAGGAACTATTTATGTTCTATGTAGATCCATTGCCTTTACTAAAGAACCCCTCACTTCATATAAATACATTCCTAAGTGCATTTCTGAATGCATACCTGACTGGGCTGCTTCCTGCATCCAGATCCTGGGCGGTCACTGCTCCAATAGTGGTGCCCAGCTGTGTGTCCTCATGAATATCCATTGTGTAGGATGGTTTACTGAACACAGGAGGCTCATCCACATCTAGAATGTTAATCTTGACCGTTGCTGTGTCTTTGTATGGACCAAAACTGTGGAATCGTGGGTCTAAGTGTGCATTTGATGCTTCCACTTTAAACGTGTAGGCCTTCCTTGTCTCGTAATCCAGAGGCTGTGAGAGAAAAAAAAATTAGGTAAAAGACGAACATTTTTAGACAATTTTGAAATGCACTGCTAAATGAGTGTGAGCACAAAGTGCACACGGTTTCTTATGTTAGATCAAAGCACTCATGCTTGCAACTGCAGAGACCCAAATGGACGTTCTGTTCTACTTTCTAAAAGCTTTCTTGATTTGACAAGCGCCTCTTTGACTCTCACTGAAATCTGAGGCTTGTCTCAGAGGCGTCTCGAGACGCTTCTCATGTGTCTTTGTTTTCCTGTTTGGGGTTCTGACAAATGCTTTCAGTCATCATACGAACATCACTCTCAAATGTTTGCTTCCCGCATTTCTTCCCTTTCTTTTCACCTTCTTTTTCTCTTGTTCTTGCAAGTGACATTTATAACATTCTAGAATTACATGCTGGTCAATTACACCCTCATTCGCAGCACAGCTATAAACAAAGCATGTCTGTCTTCACTGTTACAGCTGTGAGGCCGTGTGTGTATGTGTGTGTGGCAGTGTAGATGATTTTAGTCTTGCTCCACCAGCATCACAAGGCAGCTTGTCTGAAGATGTCAAACATTGATTGCTGTTTTACCAGCTTCCTCTGCCTCTGAAAACAGTGAGTGAGTGAACAGAAAGATAACAGCTCTGTGTGCTGTCTATCAGAAAGCATTGCAATGAAACACAAATATGTCAATATAGACATCAAATGAATAGCAACAAAAGATTAGCAGGTGCATTTTATGAATTCTCAAGAATCGGGTTTAATGCAGTTTATCAAATTGATGCAATTCAGTGTGTTACTTTCAGTGCAAAGCAAGTGTTGAGTTATTATTCGCCCAGATGCAACCAAACAATCATTAAAAGGGCATACTGAATAATGAGTCGTATGCATGGGTCAAAAATAAATTTTTAAAAGCTGCGAATCAAATGAATCACAATTTAATTAACAAAACAAACTTGTTTAAACGAACATGAGTGATATTTAAACAAATACAAGTGACTGTCATCAGACTGCAGCCTCACAGCGTGAGTGGCTCAGGTAGTGTTCACAAGCTAACTGTACACGGGAGTGGGAAATGTAGCCCAAGAGATTTACAAACCACTGATGCACTGCCGATTATAAATAAACCAAAGAACAGCTCTCTATTTTGGTTTGATTTTAATTATTTTGGTTTATTTATTTAATTTGATCAGACAAGCCTACGCTCTATATGTGAATACTCTGTAGTGTAGTTGGCTAATAATGACGTATTGCTGACACACATAGAAGGTAACAAAGTTAGATAAAAGTGCTGCTGTTCAACCATGTCTCTATTTTTGCTTAGATAACATGATTTTATAAAGATGACGGTGAAAAACAAAGCAAGAGATGCTGCAAGGAGCCAAATGAAGCCCTTCGTTTGGAAAAATGCTCTGTGCACAGGGTGCAGCTGCAATGTTACTGAACTTGAACTCCCAGAACAACTGAACTTTGTGCTATGACACCCTAAACCTCATCCCTTATATGCAGAGCAGCAGAGGAGGCACTGCCACAATATCATTACATTGAGAGGCTGGAAAGATTTTATACAAAATTATTTTCAGAAATGTTATGTAATACATAATCCCCTTTTTCTGTATGACCACATCACAACCCAAGCAAATTGGATTGCCATCTCTGACTTGTGTGCATCATCATTTGTCACACATCTTGTTTATATTCTAAGTACAGTCTGTTCAGGTAATTTAGCCTAGTTAGATCATGTTCCTTTTGAATCATCTTTATTGTAATAAACATTACTGAAATAATTTGACTGATACAGTTTTTGCCTGAGAAATACTGGGGAAGGTCTTTTAGTTTATTATATTATACCAATACTTTTCATTCATCATGATAATTTTTAAAGTTGCTTGAATTGCTGAATTGAATTGCTTAGTATATCAAATTGAATTGTTAATTCACACAAATTGTTTTAGATCTAATCGAAAACCAGTGAGTCATGAATCAAATCAATTCACTGTCAACTCTATTATTTTTTCGCTTTACCCAAAGAGTTAAAAAAAAAAAAAAAAGTTATTCCAAGCAGCCCTACCACAAGGGCTGGAGCGCTTAAGAAAGAAAGAAAAAAAATAAATAAATAAAAAAAAATAACAAAATAAAAAAATAAATATATATATATATATATATATATATATATATATATATATATATAAGATCTTCTTAAAAGCTCTGTAGTTTCTTCACGACAACAATAGGATCAGATAGAAAGCCTCCTGCTGCCCAGATGTTTCTCCTGAACAAAAGAGCCCAGTAATCTCATGTCTCCTCTTGAGTTTTAGTAGAGATCTCAGTAAAGTCACACATTGTGCTAGTTTATTCATCTCAATATGAACATAACCATATGTCATCTGAGACTATAAGCTCAGATTTGATGCTGTAACTATTATTTTTATCAGAACCAGAAATATCTCACGTTTCCTTTTTGTCTAATGCGATTTCTGAGAATTTTAAGAGAATCACCATAAAGTGTCCTGAGTCATCGAAGAGCAACATTTGAGTAATAAACCTTTCCTCTGGGAGACTGCCTTTTCAGTACTTCAGAGCAAGCCAGAAGGAAATTGGATGAGGCATATACAGTATCCAAACATGTAACATTTTAAATGTGAGCACAACTTTCTCGTTATCAAGTAATGATTAGGTTTGCTTGGCGCTTGAATCCATGCTGCCCGGTTCCATGGAAACGGACTGGTGGAATGAGGAATAAGCCATGTTAGCTGCTGCTGTCCCTTTTTTTGAAGAGCAAATAATGATAATATTACAAATAATATTTACATATTCTCGAGGCTTGTCTTTATACCTGGTCATGGGTTTGCGACATCCTGCACTCACTCAAGCTCCGCTATAACCCCCACCAACCACCCGGAAGTTTTTTTTTTTTTTACAATTCAACCACTCAAGTCACAAGGGTATTGTAATCAGTTTTATAAAATCAAACAGGATTTAGTTTGTTAGATGTTCTTTGCAGTTCTTTCTCCCTGGCCTTAATCAAATATTGCTAATTATTTCTCAGTTAAATGTTCCAAAATCAAGTGCAGCTCAAATTTGTTTTTATAAAAGAAGGCTAGTCTTTGTTACCAAACCCTGCAATTATCTTCCAGTGTGTCATAATAAAGGATGTCTTGCTTTAGTTCTGAAACTTCTAAACTGCTTTATCTAAAATCAAACCAAAAAGGTCCCCAGTTGCTGGAATGAGAAATCTTTCTGCGCACAAATAAGATCCTGACCCTTGGCTATCCTCTTGAGTGGGTCAGTTCTTTGACCATGAGGAGCTAAGAGAACTTTTGATGTCCAAGGTCACTCAGAGAATATGGATTTTCTTGACATCAATTTCTCTGAACCTGCTTTGGCTTGTAACAGTCTCTTTGGGAAATCCCCCATCAACTCCCACACAGTGTGAAGAAAGATAGAGACACACAGACAAAACCACACACACACAACACACACACACACACACACACACACACACACACACAGACTGAGCTGTCCATCTTTTCTAGTAAATCCAGTCCCTAAAGCTACTCCTTGTGCAATATTGTTGTTAAAAAATTTTGGAAAATGATGATGTTTACAACAAAGTGACATTTCCATGCATTTTCCATTTACGAATTCTCTTATGTGAGTGCTTAGCAAAGAACCATTTACATCCAAAGCACATTAAGCTGTCGGGCGCAGGGCTGCTTTAGGTTATAATAGAACAATCTCACATGTCCTGGTTTCACCAGCTACAGTATGATCAGAAATGCTTGGCCTGCAGCCGATCAATTTGCTCTAAATATTTTAAAAGTGCACATCTGCTTTGTCCATTAAAATAAAACTTTTAAAAGTACTTGCAGCTTCCATGACCATTTGTCAAAATTTTCTGGTGACAGCGTTTGAGCTGTAGAGGTAGAAAGATGGGCCTGTTATTTATGATGAGAGAAATAAATCTCCAGGTTGACTGATTGCTGCATTGCTACTTTACTCTTCATGTTAGAGGAAATGTGAATGATCTTGCAGTAAGTTTTGCATTTCAAAAGTGCATCAGCGATTCTTGAATGCAAGCTTTTCTTTGTAATAATGCAGCAGATTGAAAACGTGTTTGGAATTCTGACCATTGAGTTTATTATCTTAAATAGAATTAGAAAATACTTAGGTCTATTGCCTACTCCAAGCAGGCTTCTATTCAATTTATTGGCAGACAGGGACCTAGCTCGCTAAGAAATGGTTGTACTGATGATGTCAGCTGTTTGTGAATGCCCACCTTGACCTAAAGGTATAGGTAAAGGAGAAATGTTGTGCTTTTAAATGTGGCTAAACAGAGAAGCATCTCCAGCACCATCAAACTGATACAGCTGGGTCAAAGAGGCCATTAGACTCTATAATGAGTTGACCTATGACTGGGGAGATACTGACCTTCACACTAAATGGTTCTGAGCTACGTAACATGGACGCTTAACTGGTTAATAGTAATTACATCTGTACTTTTATTATCTTAGTAGTTCTATAGTGAGGCATAGTGTTTTACCATCATTTCTCATCGCAACAATGCATGTTCACATCTACCTGTCTGTCTTTCTAAAGATGGGTAAAAAATTAAGGCAAAATCCAACATAGTGTCTTAGGAAGTTATTGGGTTACCAGAAGCTGCTAGAACATACGCTATGTGCCTCCGTATAAATTCTACAAGTATGGAGGGATGTAACACCATTCTTCTAAAAGATATGTTTTGAAGATGGTGCTGGAGAGTGCTGTCTAAAAGCTCTTATAGGGGTTCAACTGGGTTGAAATCTCTTGAGTGCACAGATATGATTTACATCATTTTTACGCCTGTACTGTTCTCTCAGTGTACGACACACAAGGACTTGCTCACATATGGAAAATATGGTGAAGGATGACTTTATCTGACAGTCACTTTTTTAACATCTCTACAGACCAGTGCCTATAGTTTTTACACCACTGAACTCTCAAATGTGCATTTTTCTTTGTA